GATTTTGTCAATGCCGATGGTGTTCAAGTGGTGCTCCAGATGTTTTGGAATTGCACCTAAGCTGCCTATTACTATTGGTAGTATCTTTGCTTTCTTTTGCCATAGTCATTCTGCTTCTATTTGCAGGTTTTTGTATTTTGTGATTTTCTCCAGTTCTTTCTGTTCTATTCTGCTGTTTCCAGGTTCTTATTATTTGTAGTACTATTATTTAAAATAGTATTTATTTAATTATTTTCATATAATGAATGTTTGGGGATCAATGAAAAATCTGAGACTTCATGAAGGGGTCGATGAGCTGAAGAGTTTGGGGTCCCCAGACATGACCACTACCATAAATAAGTATACATTTTTTTAAATACACTCTGCTAGTTTTCCACAAACTTCTAAAGACCAAGCTTTTTCAGAGAGCCTTCCCCTGATTTGAGCTGTGGTTGCCATCATTTTTTTTTTTTTTTTGGTATTCTTTCAGTGTTGTTGTGTTTTTAATTTTGTAAGGGGTTTGTTTTATATTGTATTTTTCTGTGTGAGCTGCTCAGAGTAATTTTTGAGTGCAATGGTATACAGATACATTAAATAAATAATCATGCTCAAAATTTGGAACTTGTCCCATGAAACCAAAAGTCAAATAACTCTTTTTGGAACAATAGGAGGCTGCCCCTCCCCCTCCCCCTGTGCCCCAGCAGTCAAGTCTTAGTTTTCTCTAGTAAGTACAATGTGTCAAGTTGTATGAGGTAGGGGGAATACTGGTTTGCCCACACTGGCAGTTCTGCTGCAGAATTTCAGCAGCCTGGTTAAGTTGCTGGGATAAAAATGTGAGTCCAGGATGACATGAGCGCCGTGACCCACGAGTTGCCAATCCCTTCACCAAACTTTATTTCACAATTATTACGGTCATACAACCTGCTAAGTCAAAAGCAACAAATCACATTACTGTTTTGCAGGATACATCTCCCTCTCTCTCTCTCTCCCTCTCTCTTTCCCTCAGTGTGATACAAACAAAAGAACTTTAACTTCTCCATTTTGCCTGGAGAAGATGAGGGGAGAAATGCTAGTTGTTTTCAAGTCTTGAACAGCTGTTGTGTAGAAGATGAAGCAAAATTTTTCAGAGTTGTTCCAAAGATAGAGCAAAGAACAATGGATTTTAAATATAAGGAAGTTGATTTTTGTTGGATGTCAGGACAAAACTAACTTTACTTTAGTTACTCATCTTCCTTTGATGGATTTGGCTGAGTCAACCTTAAGTGAAAGTTCTTCACAGATATAACTGCACAGAACCACTCCCTAAGCAATACCACTGTTTACTGCTTTGTATTCTCAGGGATATAGCAAGGTTGTAAGAAGATGCAGTTTTGCAAGGGTTTTCCCTTCCTTCCTTCCTTCCTTCCTTCCTTCCTTCCTTCCTTCCTTCCTTCCTTCCTTCCTTCCTTCCT